ACGTTTTTGGATCTAACTCTCTTATAACATGACGCACGACATATATTTGAAATTTTATTACTCCTATGAAATCAAAAACATTTCTGCAATGAATAGAAATACCATATTTATGAAATAAGCTAATATTATTGGAGTAATAAACACCTTATAAATAGTAACAATTATTTGTTACTACTTGAAAAAATAGTTACTTGTTTATTGATAGGCCGATATTTTTGTGTTCGAGGATTTAAAACCTTTTTTGGGAAGTTTTGAAACGTTTTTCTAAATTTCATATAGAGTGACAGTTATTAAGGAAGCTAAAAAAAGACACTGTTAAAAATTTCGAATTAAATTACGTTAAAAAGTATCGGTACACAGGCTGTCGGTATTTTTTTTACCGTAAAATTCATTTTCACCAGAACATGCCGGGGAATTAAAAATCTAATATACTGTAATTTTAAAACACTTAACCAGTGTAATCAAATAAATGCTACTGCAAAAATTACAGTATATTATTTTACAGTAAACATGGATTTTTTAAATGATGCTCAAAAACTGCCTGTACTTTATAATAAGTACTATTAGTATTCGCTGTTTTGGAGACATTGATCCTCCTAATTGCTGACTACAAAAAAGTGATTATTAGAAAAGTTAGATATATTAGGCTCGAGATTTTTCTTCGGAAGAAAATAGAAGGACTAACTATTTCTCTTAGTTTGACGAAATTTGTTTTCTCGAAGAAGTGACAATTCGTCAAACCGTGGTGACTCAGGGTATAGAGCGTCAGCCTTCCAATGAGGTAGTGAACTTTGTTCGAAACCTAGCGATGATTGGTTGATTCGAATTCCACATCCACCTTACACTGGCCACAGTGCTGAAGTAAATATCCTCAGTGATAGACGGGTCATGGGTTAGAGTCCTCTTGCCGTCAATGAAACTATGTGAGGTTTTCGTGGTTTTCCTCTCCATCTGATGCAAATGCGGGTTAGTTTCATCAAAAAGTCCTTCATAAGGGATATATTCTCTTAATACATGATAGAGGAGTTCCTTTGTCATTTGGATTGGGTTCAAAGTTACAAGGCTAAGGAATTGAACATTGGTAGTCGTAAACCTAAAATTGGGTCTGCTGTTCAACGACTGTTATAAAATAGGATTTTCATTTCGTACATTAACAAAATATTTGCTCGGAGCATATATCAGGGAACGGTTTCTTCAAAAACGAAGAAAGTTTCGTGAAATTTGAGCATCCATTTCTTTTCAATGAAGGGAAAACAGTTCTGATATGCATATTATGTTTAGAAACTGTATGCAGAAAAACTACAATGAATAGAAATAGCTAAATGGAAACATAAAGTTTAAATAAGTTTTTTATGCCTGTTTTACACTCAAATATTAATTCATTCTGGCCCTTGCGAATGAAATTTAATTAACTGTTTAATAATAGTAAAAACACATCGAATATTTTTTTTTGTTGTAAAAATTTTAATTTTAATTAAAGTGCAATAATATTTTTTTACGTGACAGTCATAAAAAAACGAGAAAAGAGTTTTTTGCCGACACAATATATAAATAAAAAAAATCCCAATTCCAAAAATCTTTAAATTTACTTGACAGTAATAACATTGTGACAAAAAATTTAGTTTTAGCTCGAAAATTGATTTGTTACTTGGAAACTTACTTAGTGTTCAAGCGTTTATACTCATGGGAACTATTTTGTAAGTTTTAAGATGTTAATATTAAAACTGAAAAATATGCAATTAAAATCATGAAAAATTTGGTATGAAATCTAAAATAATGATGAAAAAATTGAAAATGAACTGACATTTAAGATTTCAAAAAATGCTACACGAATTGTAATTGGTTTTGACAAATTTCCTGACATTTAACATTTTAATTGAAAGTTTTCTGTGAGACCACTAATTAATTTCTAGTTATCTCTACAACAATGTTGATACCTAATATTTTTTAGAACAAATCATAAGTTTTTCACTTCATATTGCTAATAAACTAATTTTTATATTAAAAAGAAACGTTTCAAAATTTGAAATATATGAAAATTTAATTTTGAAAAGCAGATTTTATGATAAACAGCTATCGTGCAAGCAGAAAAATTACAAAAATAATGGTTCAATTTCCGTATATTTTGGTTTTATAAATCCGAATTATGGTTTTAATTTACTAAAAATGTAATTATCATACAGTAAGTTAATTTCAGTATAATTTTTTTCCCGTCGGGTACTTGTTTGTAGTACCAAAACGTATGCCTGTAAATTTTTATTTATACTTTTACGTCATTTTAATTTATTCCAAAAAATCTTTTTTAAGATTCTGTCTGAAAGATAATTTTTTTATCTGTAGATGCATTGGATTTTTGTTTGTTATAAAGTCATATAAATGTTGTTAGGCTTGATTAAAATTCATATATCTAACTTTGCTAAACTTAAGTAAGTTAGTATAGTTTAGTTAACCTTAGGCTTAATTACTTTTCGAATTAATATTTGGTATTTTAAATTAAAATGATTTTTTTAAATTTAAGAGAATAAAGATTTTTAGCATTAGGATAGCTACACAGACATATTATTAAATTACATTGCGTCAAGACTACCTTAATTTTAAATGCAATTTCGAGAGCGTCATAAAATGAAATTAAATCAGACATACACCATTTTTACTCAAAGCGAAATTTCAAAAAATGAATGATTTTTTATGAGGCATCGCCGCAGACGGTGCAAACAAAGAAAATGACCAAAAAAAAAAGAGAAAAATACGAAAAACATTCTTTAAGATTTTAATTTTCTCTTTTTTTACTACCATTTTTCATTTCTTCTTTTTATCTCAAACAAAATAAGCTCAGAATGACAATTGTATCGCCCTTTTTATGAACAAATACTGACTCGAAATGCGAAATAACAAATGACCTATGAGCTCAGCGTATATATCACCAAACTTTTACTTGATAATTTCATTGCTTTTTTTATTTTTTTTTATTTTTAACATTCGTTATTCTTATTCAAAGAACATTGGCACTGAACAGAAAAAGTGTTTTTCTTTTAAGAAATAGGGTAGTTTGTTTGGATAATTTAATATGCCACCTATTATATGAATTTTTTCTTCTTTTTTCCCCCGATCCTCTTTCTTCGCGTTACGTGTCTTATGATTCGAAGATTTAAATTGCCTGATATAATCATAAGAGAGTAACATTAGTTTTATTTAAAAAAAAAAGAACAACGCATATTTCTTTTGAATCTCAAAGTAGTGTCTAATTAATCCTTGAGGAGAAATAAGTAATTTTTTGCGTCAATAAATCATGCGCATTCGTTTGAAATCGCACACAGGCGTTTTGTTACTGACATAAAAACAGACAAAAAAATGACTGTAACTTGAGATTTGAAAGAAATTGATCAAAACACATTGTAAATTATGCTTTTAGAATAAAGCATGGCTTTGAAAAAGAAAGATTTTGTGCTTTATCAAAAATGCAAAAAGCATTTTTAACCCCAAGAGTTAGAAAAAAAATTATATTATTTTTTATCACCGTTTATTCTTCAGGATGCACATGTTTGCAATTAATATCAGTGCAAAAATAGTTTGATTGAAAATAATTTTTTATTGATAAAATGTAGTTTATGTACTAACTAATACCTATAAATAATATGTTTATGATTAATTTTATTTCTTTTACAAATAACTTAATTTTCAAACATAGAGCAGTTAATGCTTTTATGTCTATTCTTAAATTTGAGTAAATATTTCAAGGAATTCTTACGTCATATGTATGATAATTTTAATAAAAACTAAGTAACTAAGTAACTAAGAAACCTGATAGAAGTTTGATAGTTTTGTGATTTTTTGATATTATTTACATAATATTTAAGCTTAATATTTCAGAAAAAAATATTATTTTTGAAGTGCATATTTTGTTTTTGCATGAGGACAATATGAAAAATAAAATATCGCATTGAAAAAATATCAGGACAAAATATTTTCTATTTGTATAAAATCTATGTGTTATTATTTTGTTGTTTCGACATTGTTAGATTGAATTATTTATGCACATTAATTATGTACTGTGCGCCTGATAATTTGTAAAATTTAAAAAAAAAGTGTAGCAAGGAAGTACTTTTTTTGAAAATCTAAAATATTTCACATAATTATTAAGAGTATTTTTGAAAACGTATTTTACACTCCACTAATTTTACATATTTTTGCATATTCTATTTCATAGATTTCCAAATAATAGTAAAAGAACAATGAGGAAATAAAGAAATATTTTAATGAAATATAAATTTTTTTCGATTATAACTATTTAACTATGTTTTGGTTTATCATATTGAATATGTTTTAATTCAAGCGCTCGTAACATAAGTTCAAAGGAAGTTACGAGAAATCTATTACAGTGAACATACTCAATATTACGTGAAATAACTAACAAATATTTCACTTTAAAGACCAATATTAAGCAAGACTTCAATTTATTATTCCATTGGTACATTTAATGGCTAGCATACAACATTTATTTAGTTAAAATTCAAAAGCCTGTCTTGAATATTATAAAAGTGAAGCGCAAAAGAAAAGGATTGCACCTCGTAGTAGTGCCATAGGCTCACAAATTGAGCGACCAAGCAAAATAGCAACACCCAATCAAAATCGAAAGAGACACCAAAGCAATGAGGAAAAAAGTGATATGAACTATTTATTCCATAGTTTATTACTTCATTAACAAGTACCTTCCTTTTTGAAAATATGTAACTATTTAACTATGCTTTGGTTCCTCAGATATCTTAATTCAAGCCCTCGTACCATGAATTCGAAGGATATTAATAGCAATTTATTACAGAAAAATATTAAGTGAAATTAATAACAAATATTTCACTTTCAAGACTAACATTAAATGCGATTTAAGTTAATTATACCAGCATTTCATTTAAAATTGCAAATGCATGTAACATTTATGTAGTTAAAATTCAAAAGTATGTCTTTAAAAATTTCATGAGCAAAAAAAATTCATGCAAACTTACTTCTTGATCTATGTTGGTATGGATCGTCGTATGATCGACGTCTTTCTTCGAATGTTTCATAAGCGTTTTGTTCTTCTGCTCGAGTTCTTTGATCTATCGATGATGTCCCTGAATAGGATCTATCATCTGGATCCCTAGGGCCAGCTCGTAATCGAGTGTTGTGGGATTGTGGACGGAACTGGTCCATATTTTATTTACTCCTTTTTAAATTTGACAGTCTGAAAAAAAAACAAAATTTGTTAATACTTAAACTTAAACTTGTAATTCAGAGTTATGTTTGCAAATTTGTAATTCCAAAATTAAAATATAATCAGTGTTGACACGTAAATAGTGTTTTGTACAACAATATTTATTTATATGACACTCCCATGTAAGCTTGTAATTAGGAGTTACACTTGTAAATTTGCAATTAGAAATTTGAAACTTAAAAATAAAATCAATGTTAATACGTAAATAGCGTTTTGTGCAACAATATTTATTTATGTAACACTTCCATGTAAACTTGTAATTAGGAGTCGCACTTGTAAATTTGTAATTAGAAATTACAAACTTAAAAATAAAACCAATGTTTATGCTTAAATAGTGTTTTATACAACAATATTTATTTACATAATACTTCCACGTAAACTTGTAATTAGGAGTTACACTTGTAAATTTGCAATTAGATATTACAAACTTAAATATAAAGCCAACGTTTATGCGTAAATAGTGTTTTGTACAACAATATTTAGTTATATATCACTTCCATGTGCACTTGTAATTAGGAGTTACACTTTTAAATTTGTAATTAGAAGTTACAAACTTAAAAATAAAACCAATGTTTATGCATAAATAGTGTTTTGTACAACAATATTTATTTATATAATACTTCCATGTACACTTGTAATTAGGAGTTACACTTGTAAATTTGTAATTAGAAATTACAAACTTAATAATAAAACAAATGTTGATACGCAAATAGTGTTTTGAACAAAAAATATTTATTTGTAAGATCACGTGTGAGATGCAAGATGATAATTGATAGACTTATAGATGTCAGAAAAACAAAGAAAATTATTATTCCGTTTTTCCTAAAGCAGTAATTGTACAGAGGAAGTATTTTAATGATTCCTTCAATGCTATTGAGAGTTTCAAATTTTTTCTTTTAAAATAAACAAATAAATTTATTTGTTTGCCTTTAAGTACTATAAGAAAGCATACAATTGTAGACTTGAATGCTTACAAGCTATTGTTTACTCATGACATCTAAAAACACTGTATTTTTCAAAATAAACTTGTTTTACTCTTTAATATGTTATGTTTTTCCTTCTTAAAATAAAAAAAAAGCTCAGAAGATTTTTTTTTTTTGCATGAAGGAGAAAGAAAACTCTTAAAACGATATGTAAACATTAAGAATCGTACGAGTTTGAAGGATATTTCTTTTAAGCATTATTTACTCTTAAAAACGGAAAGAAACTAGATTCATATTGAAGCAAATAAGAGAACGGGTGAAAAAAAGTTTTACCAAAACAAAGCGCAAAAATAAAAGCCGAAGCAAAATGACTTATTTGAAGCAGTTGTTTTTAAAACGCATCTTCCCCTAAAAATGACAAAAAAAAAAGTTTTCACAGCAAAGTGTCATTCCCTTAAAAGCATCAAGCTCTTAACTGATTATATAACATAGTCACATAACTCACAAAACGCAATTCAACCCTCTATTGCTCTAAGCAGAATAACTGAATATTCCAAAAGTAGGCAGCAAAACAATTTATCAAAGAAATAGCTTTTCTTCCAGTTATTTACTCCAAGGAGATTTAATATTATCCTCAATTTATACCAATCCCTAACATGAGGATAAAAATTCCCTTTCGGCTGGAGACATGTTATACCGAAGGAGACCCCGACCGGGCACATTATTTACCCTGTCCCTTGGGTCGGGTTGAACATCGACAACGACAATTGTATACAGGGCACGCAATGGTAATGCCCCATACATATTAAAACAGGCTGATTCTTTCTGTAGATGGCAGTGCAGTAGCTTCCTAACCAGAAGTTGCGATTCTTAACATTTAATCTCCATTTCCTGATAAAGACGAGAGCAAGAAATAAGAAAAATGTGGCCAGTGGTCAATGTGGTACCATAGCTCATTCAAACAAAGTCCTTATCATGTTCATCAGGGTAAGGGCTCCCTGGAAGGTGATTACCTTATCGCTTAGCGCCCCTGCTTGGAACCGCCCTTGTTTATCCAATCCCTTGTAATCTAAATAGCCCTTTTGTGATCCCAAGTAAAGAATTGAAAGGCGTTTCGGCCACACAGAAATGTCCCTATTTTCACTTTCAGAACAGGGGAAAGACGTTATCTTGAATAAAATTGCATATGAATATAATTACTTTGATAAAGATCAAATAGATCTTTGATGTCTAGCTAGTTCAGCTTAATTTTCAGAATGAAGTCAAAGAGCTGAATATTTAATGCTTTAAGTATATTGAGTCATTAGCTCTAAAATATTACTATAGAAGTTAAAGGAAGGGAATATATATCCATGAACTTTAAATATAGTGTATATTCTTATCAAGATTGCTGATTACGAGTGTATAATTTAATATTAACGCAGAAAGAATGAAGAATAATAACCATACAGATCTCTGTCTGAAAATTTCTAAGGGTAATAAACAATCCTTCGGCCAGAAAAGGCACTTTACTTTCTATATGTAAACCTTCAGAGAATGGATCAGATTCAGATGAATTCAAATTTTTCGTTTCATTTATTTGATTGAAATGCGTTCCATTGAATCTAGTAATCAAATTTTATGGTTGTAAATAATATAACAGCATTTTCAAAGTTCAAGATTTAAAACGTATTCATAACTTTTAAAACTCGATTCAAACTCGATTCAATAAAACAAAATAAATTAATAAAATCAAACAAGAAGTATTCAAAAATAATAATTAGTGATTTAATATGCATAGAATGCTGTGTTTACGTATTTTTTCTATGCTAATATAGAGTTCACGTAGGAAAAAAACAGCAAAAAAGTAAAAACTTTTTTTCTGTTTAAGCGAGACCTTTAAATTCAGTTGATTAATTGTAATCGAAATAAGTTGATTAATAAAAAAACATGTATAAATGAACTATTTATGATATGAAAATGCTTTTTTAAATTATCAATTTTATAATTTCGCTATAATAGTGAAGTTCAGATTATATATTATACAATAGCCTGAAAATACTTTCCACTGTTTTCTAATTTGTAATTTAGTAACTTCTTTAAACTTTAATTTTAATTGCTAATTTACAGCTTAAATTTACTTTTTCCATTTTATTTAAAGTATCATTTAAGTCTTAAATTAATAATGCTGCAAAAATTACCAACCAATAGCTTAATTTAAAAAAAAAATCATGTTTAAAAAACATGTGTACAGTCAAAAGCTTAAACTCATAAAATGTTTGGGATATGTGTCATTAAAGGATGTGATTATGATTGCAATATAAAAGCGCAAATAAATTTTAGAAATAATATTTTTGCTAAGATTCCTAGAAGCTGAAGCAATACAGACTATATTATTGCCTTATTAGTTTTTAATTCAATGAACAATACACATTATTGAGTATTTTTATATTTAAAAAAAATTGAAATATTCAGAAAAAAATAACAAAACGAATTAAAACATAATAACAACATTTTATTTTGATTTAATATATAGTCTGGTATTAAACTAAAAAAAAAGACATTTGCTTAAGTTATTTATAAATAAAATAGTTCGCTCGAAATAAACGTTAAATAAATTTTTATTCAGCGGAGTTTAATGTTACAGAGTAATTCATTTATTAAAGCTACGTATCACAACTGACAAATAATAATCTAAAATGAAATATTGTTTTCCGAAATATTCGTCGTAACAGAGTAGATGAAAATGTCAACGTCACTTATTGAAATATTTACATCTGTCACTTTTCCCTACGCTTAATAATCTAATTTCTCACCCGCCTGTTATATTTAGACGCAATTCTAATCGCATTATTGATCTGAATTCACCACCAGCCAGCAGACAACAAAACTCAATTTAAAGGCAGTTCAACGCAAATCGTAAAGCTCACATTAACCATTCACGCGTTCGGAAATTTGGAAGAGAATTTCAGGAAGGGAGGATTAAAACGACTTACAAGTCACCGTTAAGAATTATGAGACTGTTCTGTTAAGACTCTGCAATTTCCCAGCGACCAAAACAAACTGCGCGGACGCCTAACAAATCCTTTTGGGCGAAATGTAACAGATGAAGGCTCGGATGTTCTTAAGTGTTGAGCAAACCGCAATGGAACTGGAGCCAAATAAACACAAATGCTTCTGTTTTGGCGCTAGTACTGCAGCTTTATGTATGCAAACCTCGAAGTGAATTCCTAATGGTTTGGCTCACGAAGAATTAAGAGACGCACCAACTTTTGTTGTCCCGAGTCAAGACGGTAAAAATATTCGTGCCTCTTAATCAGTTGGAAATATAGCTGAGAGTTGTCGGAAAGGCGAACTTAAAGGACATTTGCAAAACGGGGTAGGGACATTTATTTAGTGAAGTAATGAGCGAAAAGCAGAATCTAATGCATTATGCATTCTGAATGCCTTAGTGTGATTTTCCAGAATATCCCGCACACTGAGAGTACAAACAAACTAGTAGACTACCTTTGGGATGTTATTTCAATGCAAATTGTTATAGAGAATATTGTATTTACATTTATAATGTATATCAATGCCTTAAAAATATGCAATTTAAGAAATAGTTTTGCATGTTAATGCTTCCTTCCCCCCCGACTTTTGAAACAACATTTGCAAGCAATATTTACGTTTAATTATTTAAGCGGTAAGTCATCACTAGTTAAAAGAGTCCGCAAGTCAATAAGAATGTAATGAGTCGCTCATAATTTATAAGAGTTGGGCAAGCTTTAGCGTATTTTAGCACCTAATTATGTATTTATAATAAGAGGAATTATAACATGTTTACATTTTTATTTTCTTATATTTTGAACTGAAATTGTTTCATCGCGATTTTCTAACAATGGTTTTCCATATTCTGAAAAAAACTGCATTGTTGGATAAAAGGCTTTTAGGAGATGTATTTAAGAAAATATATCTGTTAAAAATTAAGCAGGTTTTAAAGCAAGTTTAAATGTCGGAATTTTATTGCTATGAAATTTTATCTCAATAGTTTAATTTCCAATTTTTTTGTCAGCGTTATGACTTCCT